CCCTTATTCATCTATGATAAATATTGCAATATATATATATATGTTCTTCTCATAAATTATGTAATACTCAAGCTCAGAATTTAGCTCAGAATTAATTTTAGCATTTATAAAAATAATTAAAAAGTAATTTTAAATTATTTTTATTTTTATTTTATTAAATTATTGAGAAAAATAAGTTAGGGGACGTAATTGAAAGTAATTTTAGGGAAAATGAGTAAAAATTGAGTTCGAGAGGTATTTTTGAAAAGAAAAATAAGAAACATGTGGTCAAAATGCAAAAAAAAAAAAATCAGCCTCGTGAGACAACCCAATCAGCAGCCCCGACGAACCAAAACACGCAGCATGGCAAAGCACGTTGACATTTACGCCACGCAAGAGGTCACGCGGGTGATCAGCGTGCCCAGCGATTCGACAACCCAAATTCCATCCCACGCGCGTGAATGACTCAAATGCGTTCCCTCCTTAGGTGCGATCGGATGGACGAGATCAATCGCGATAAACGGTCCAGATTCGCCCATGTAATCGACCTAAACAGATAACAATCGGATGACTCTCCTCGCTCCATGTCGACGCGGATGGATGACATCAACGCAGGGTGAGTATATAAAAATCGCATAGCAGAGGAACCCCAACCCTAGCCGCCAGCACCCACCAAAGAAGAAGAACCAAACACCAGAGAACAAGGTCGACCTCCGACTGCCGCTGCATCGGAGCCACCGTCGACCACCAAAAAAAGGTAAAATTTTCACCTACCCGCTTGGAATTCAATTTCGAGCCTCCATGTGGTTATATCAGAGCAAGAGGGACGGCGGGTGAGCTAAAAATTGCGAACAAACTTTGGTGGAGCCGCCGCGACTGAAACTCAAAAACCACTCAGATGAGCCCCTTCCCGTTTTTCGTTACACACAATTCTTTGACCATTGTGTTCGTCATTCTTTTCTATGCAGGTTAGCTAGAAAAGAATCCCCAGCTGCGAAAGAGAACTTGTGGAGCTGCCTTTATAACAGTTCGGAACTTAAAATGAAATAAATTATAAATTAAATGCGAAAGTGAAATAATAAAGTTAGAATTTACGTTCCTTACACAATAATTCGTAATATCAATAGAGCTACATGAATGATCTTTCTAAAAGACCAAACGAAAAATCAAAGAAATAAATGAAAAGTAAACAACTGGGCATCATATTCGCAACCCTCTTATGGATCAGAATTTGGATCCTCGTCCTCTTGATCTGAAATAGTTAATGAAAGAGTGAGCTATACTGGTACAATAAGAATGTCATACTATTCATCAATACAGAAATGAAGGTTGATAAAAATTATAAAAATTAACTAATTGAGCTCTTAATTTAAGTAAATTAATTTATCATAAAGAAAATTATTTACCACATACTTACCATAGTGAGATTTCTAAAACTGACTTATAGAGGCAATAACATAACTAATATTATAATCTCATATTCAATTAGTCA